ATTGAGAGCTGGAACTTTCCCAAGACAAGTTCCGGCAGGAGGAATACAAAGGGACAGGAGGTTGCCACCCCTTCCTTTCATCTGCATTCCTCTTGCCGGCACTTGCCTACTAGGTCTGCTGCTCATCTGTGGTATCCGCCCCAGCTTGGACTTCTGACCACGATTCTACCTCCTGACCTGGCACCTCACCACCATCACATTGCCGTTCCTGAAATTGATTGCGATTCCGCACCCATCTGTCTGCTGCCAAACATAGCTTGTGACCTGACGCTATATTGCCACTGGGAGGATTCCTACATTTCCAAGCTCAGGTTCACCAAGCCATCTTCCTGGCACCTGCACCCTTCTTCTGCCCTGTTTCCACTACCAGGAGTGCTTGGGATGGGAGTTGCCCAATAGGCCACCCTTGTCATGTTGGGCTCCCGCTGTCTGGTAAATGACAGGGGGTCTTGGTCACCATGTTCCCTTCAAAGCCCATCTCCAGGACTATGTCTCCTCCTAGTCTTCCCATTGGATTTCCCCTGTGTTCCTGCTGGTGACGACCCATACCTTGGGATTTTTCTTTCACTTTTGGTGATAACGGTCACCTGGACAAATAGAGAGGGTGGATCTCCCCAACGGGGGCACAGATGGCAATTAAAACCTGACAGGGGGGTCTATCCTTTCTGCCTTTACTTGGACTTTAAATGGGCGTATGGCAGTAGGGAAGGACAATCTGTAGATCATGAAAGGAGAATAAGGAGAAGAATCCTCGTCCAAGAAAGGCTTCTACAAACGTTTATTTTTCTTAGATTAGTAGCTCTGCTTTCTAATTACCACCCAGTTAATGATGTGTTCATTTCAATTCTCGGTTATTTATGCACCGGTGGAATCTCATCACACGGAGTGGGCATCGCACTGCCCCGAGGAAATCGGCGCCGAATCCAGACAAGGAAGAGTTTCTGGGCACGTCTCGTCTGGTAATGAGAAGCTCAGAAGAGGACTATCCAGCAGAAAATATCTCGGAATATTCCAGAAGAACCAAACCCGAGCGTTAAAATCTCATAGAAGCTTTAACATAGTAACTAGTGAGAAGCCACCTGTGTTCACTGGTTGTTTCAACACGCATGACACCGGCACGGTCCGCTGTTGTCACCCATCAAGAAACCCGCTCTGAGAAATGCCGTGCAGCCATCACTTTTGGTCAGAGCAACTGTTCGAAACCATGGTTCCCCATCAGAGGCGGATTGACCATTTGGAAACTCGGGCACTGCCCGAGGGCCCGGGGTCAGTAGGGGGCCCCATGAGATGCCCCTGGTACCTTTTTCATAGGCTTTTTTGAGTTTGGGCAAGGACCCAGGGGCCCCATGATCCCCTATTGCCCGTGGGCCCCATGAGTTGCCTGTTCCCCATACAGCCAATCTGACAGGGTCCCCCTTCCCCAACAACAAAAAACACAGTTTACTAAGCTTCACTTATGAATGAACACAGTGAGCAAAGGGTACCGATCACTCATTGTGTTCATTCAGGAAAGGAAGGGGCTGGTAAATGTGACATATTTACCGGACCCTTCCCCCACTTTTCATCCTGAAGGATCCTGTTGCAGCTTGCAGTGTGCTTGCAGCTGCTGGTTGGAAGCTGAGGAGGGAAGCCGGCAGCACTGCAAGGGTGAGGGGTTTAGGCCACAGGGGGAAATGTATTGTACACAGGGAGGGTGATGGGTGTGGCAGGGGGGTTGGGTAATTAGTGGAAATTATCCCCTTTATGGCTCCCTCTAGAGCAGCTGAAAGCCAACAGGAGAGGAGAAGAAGCCTGCTATCAGCTGTAATTGCCCCCCCGCTGTGCTGATCACCCTTCCTGCCCACATCCAATACGCTCCACTGTGCCAATCACCCTTCCTGCCCACATCCAATGCCCCCCGCTGTGCTGATCACCCTTCCGGTTCACATCCAATGCCCCCCGCTGAGCCGATCACTCTTCCTACCCAAAATCCAATGCCCCCTGCTGTGCCAATCACCCTTCCTGCCCACATCCAATGCCCCCCGCTGTGCCGAACACCCTTCCTGCCCACATCCAATGCCCCCCGCTATGCCGAACACCCTTCCTGCCCACATCCAATGCCCCCCCGCTGTGCCGAACACCTTTCCTGCACACATTCAATGCCCCCCGCTGTGCCGATCACACTTCCTGCCCACATCCAATGCCCCCCCCACTGTGTGAATCACCCTTCCTGCCCACATCCAATGCCCCCAGCTGTGCCAATCACCCTTCTTACCCACATCCAATGCCCTCCGCTGTGCCGATCACCCATCCTGCCCACATCCAATGCCCCCCCACTGTGCCGATCACCCTTCCTGCCCACATCCAATGCCTTCCGCTGTGCCGATCACACTTCCTGCCCACATCCAATGCCCCCCCGCTGTGCCGATCACCCTTCCTGCCCACATCCAATGCCCTCCGCTGTGCCGATCACACTTCCTGCCCACATCCAATGCCCCCCGCTGTGCCGATCACACTTCCTGCCCACATACAATGCCCCCCCGCTGTGTCGATCACCCTTCCTGCCCACATCCCATGCCCTCCGCTGTGCCGATCACACTTCCTGCCCACATCCAATGCCCCCCACTGTGCCATTTACACTTCCTACCCACATCCAATGCCCCCCGCTGTGCGGATCACCCTTCCTGCCCACATCCAATGCCCCCTGCTGTGTCGATTACCCTTCCTGCCCACATCCAATGCCCTCCGCTGTGCCGATCACACTTCCTGCCCACATCCAATGCCCCCCACTGTGCCATTTACACTTCCTACCCACATCCAATGCCCCCCGCTGTGCGGATCACCCTTCCTGCCCACATCCAATGCCCCCTGCTGTGTAGATTACCCTTCCTGCCCACATCCAATGCCCCCTGCTGTGCCGATTACCCTTCCTGCCCACATCCAATGCCCCCCCATGCGAATCACCCTTCCTGCCCACATCCAATGCCCCCCCATGCGAATCACCCTTCCTGCCCACATCCGATTCACCCAACTGGGCCCCCCTGCTGGCTTGGGCCCGTACAAGAGGACTGGTGGTACCCCGTTATCCACGGCCCTAGCTGAGGTGCATGTAGGCAGGAAGTGGCTGTAAAGAGGTTGCAGGAGATCAGCAGCACCGAGATGCAACAAAGGATGAAGTAAATACTTAATTAGTATTCATTGAATATTGTGCTTTTGCAAACTAAATGCCAGTCAGGGGATTGCATCTACTTTACCGGTTTTTTTACCCCCCAAAAAAAGGTTTTCGCCTTTAATGTGCGTTCCCCGTCCTCGCAGGTCAGTGGGCAATCTTATCTCCCAACAGCAAGGAGCAGACACTCGACGCGCAGAGATTAAACCGGAAGTACAGACACAATAAGCGGGGAATCTGGAAACGGCGTGTTTATGAAGAGGAGCGCGGTACAGACGACGGTGAGCCGCGGAGACGAGAGCGACAGACAAGTCCTAATTGTCTCCATTAATATGATGAACCTGGATGTGTCCTCTTCACGCTGAGGATTCTTTTGTCTCTTTGATTGCTACACAAACAGGAATCCCGCCGACAAAGAGCTCCCTGACTTGGATTGCATGCAGAACAAGGACTGTGCAGACATGGACTGTCGGATTAAATTGCCCGTGTACAGCGGAATCTGCAGAGGAAAACTCCCGAACATCCGGATGTAGACAGCTGGGAAGGTCCACAGCTCTGCCTTGTTTAGAATTCTGCTTCTCTTTAGCCTTCTTTAATCCTTTCTGTACACGGGTCCATTTTGCCCTTTTTTTCATTTTTGCACGTTTTTTTAAAAAAACATGTTTTAGGCCTGAAGATTAGTTAAAACCCCCAAAAATCCTGTGTAATAAAATTGTGGTACTTCCCGTTTTTTGTGCAAAAATTTAAGCAAAAATTGCATGGTAATGTAGTTAATTTAAAGCACACAAATCCCTGAGGAAGTCATGTTATTGACGCAACGCGTTGGGCGGAGCCAGTGACGTCATACCGCGACCAGGAAGTGTGCGAGTGGCCATTTTCTTAGTTTTCTAAGCTTTGTATGCCAGAATATTCATTGTACTGTTATGGAGTGCACTCAGTAAGTCAAGTCTAACACGTTTTTCAAAACATAATACTTTGGAAGCAGTGAGCACTATATGTGCTTAAGGCACACAAACCCCTGAAGAAGTCACGTGATTGACGCAACGCATTGGGCAGAGCCAGTGATTTCATGCCACTACCAGGAAGTGTGTGAATGGCCATTTTCTTGGTTTTCTAAGCCGTGTATGCCAGAATTTTCATTGCACTGTTATGGAGTGCACTCAGTAAGTCAAGTCTAACACCTTTTTCAAAACATAATAATACTTTGGAAGCAGTGAGCACTATATGTGCTTAAGGCACACAAACCCCTGAAGAAGTCATGTCATTGACGCAACGCATTGGGCAGAGCCAGTGATTTCATGCCACTACCAGGAAGTGTGCGAGTGGCCATTTTCTTGGTTTTCTAAGCCGTGTATGCCAGAATTTTCATCGCACAGTTGTGGAGTGCACCTATTAAGCCAAGTATAATACGTTTTGTTTTTTTTTTAAATTAATACTTTGGAATCAGTGAGCACTATATGTTCTTAAGGCACACAAACCCCTGAGGAAGTCACATGATTGACGCAACGCGTTGGGTGGATCCAGTGACGTCATGCCTCTACCGGGAAGTGTGCAAGTGGCCATTTCTTGGTTTTCTAAGCCTTGTATGCCAGAATTTTCATCGCATAATTGTGGACTGCACTTATTAAGCCAAGTATAACACGTTTTTAATAAAAAAATAATGCTTTGGAAGCAGAGAGCATTATATGCTCTTCTTTTTCCTGAGTTTTCCATTGCCCAGCATACCTCCCAACTTTCTGAGATGGGAATGAGGACAGTAGGACACATCCACTGTCACTCCCCCCTTAAAGGACAATTGTACAAAAAAAATTATTGGTCAAACCCACAAGTGGGGGAGGGAGGGAGAGTATTGCAGTGTACCAGGTGATAATGAACCAGACCCTTCCAATCTAAGCAGCATTCTTCTCACTGACCACCAATGTAAGGGACATTCTTCCCACTAACCTCCAATGTAAGGGACATTCTTCCCACTGATCACCAATGTAAGGGACATTCTTCCCACTGACCACCAATGTAAGGGACATTCTTCCCACTGACCACCAAATGTAAGGGACATTCTTCCCACTGACCACCAATGTAAGGGACATTCTTCCCACTGACCCCCAATGTAAGGGACATTCTTCCCACTGACCACCAATGTAAGGGACATTCTTCCCACTGACCCCCAATGTAAGGGACATTCTTCCCACTGACCACCAATGTAAGGGACATTCTTCCCACTGACCCCCAATGTAAGGGACATTCTTCCCACTGACCCCAATGTAAGGGACATTCTTCCCACTGACCTCCAATGTAAGGGACATTCTTCCCACTGACCTCTAATGTAAGGGACATTCTTCCCACTGATCACCAATGTAAGGGACATTCTTCCCACTGACCACCAATGTAAGGGGACAGTCTTCCTGCCACTGACCACCAATGTAAGGAGCATTGTTCCCACTGACCTCCAATGTAAGGGACATTCTTCCCACTGACCATCAATGTGAGGAGTATTCTTCCCACCGACCAATGTAAAGGGCATTCTGCTCATTGACCACCAATGTAAAGGACATTCTTCCCAATGACCACCAATGTAAAGGGCATTCTGCTCATTGACCACCAATGTAAAGGACATTCTTCCCAATGACCACCAATGTAAGGGACATTCTTCCCACTGACCACCAATGTAAGGGGCATTCTTCCCAATGACCACCGTTGTAAGGGACATTCTTCCCACTGACCACCAATGTAAGGGACATTGTTCCTACTGACCCCCAATGTAAGGGACATTCTTCCCACTGACCACCAATGTAAGGGACATTCTTCCCACTGACCCCCAATGTAAGGGACATTCTTCCCACACTGACCCCCAATGTAAGGGACATTCTTCCCACTGACCCCCAATGTAAGGGACATTCTTCCCACTGACCCCCAATGTAAGGGACATTCTTCCCACTGACCCCCAATGTAAGGGGCATTCTTCCCACTGAGCACCAAAGTAAGGGACATTCTTCCCACTGATCACCAATATACAGAGCATTCTTTCGAATGTCCACCAATGTAAGTCAGTTATTCTTCCCACTGACCCCTGATGAATTAATTTTAGCTGAGGTTTGGAAATGAATTCAAAGGTTCTTTTGAAAGGTTGAGAAAGACTTGTAGGAGACTTCCTGCCTGGTTTTCTGAGAACGATGCTGATAATTTATGCCATCTTAAACCTAGTCATATCCATTAATTCAGTGTTGAGGAGCTAGTTAAGGAACTTTCCTGAAAGAAGTGTATTTGCTGTAAGTATTTTCCATTTCATTTGGTAGTGTAACTCAACAAATAGGATATTTTATGCTGCTCCATGCGTTGCGCTTTAGTGGATTTACATGTAAAGCACTTTATTTTTAATGATGGTGCCGGCTGCGACTTTCCAATGACCTTGGCAGCGCTAGGAAGAACGGGTCGTGGCGCATCTCTGGTCTGTATCCGTGTGCATCTCAGCATCTTTCTTTCAAGTCTGTTTTGATGAGGAAGCTGGAGAAACCAGTCAACAGAATTTAATGACTCTGGAATGCCACCGAGTTTTCTAGTTGTAGCTTGAGAAACTACCTGATTGGAGGCACAGGCGTCTTCTGAGTTCTCGGAGTGTTTAAAGTGCTAATTATCCCCTTAGATGCGTAGTGCCTGGGTAGCAGCTCCCGTGTTTGGCACCGATTAGCTCTTGGCTTTCCAGTCAAACAGTATGAAGCCTACAGAGATAGGAAATGACGGGCTGGGTAGTACAGAAGAACGACTGACCACTCCACACCGGCATTCATTGCCACGTTTGAGCTCTTCAATGCCACCATTCCCACAGCAGTGCAGCACTTCTTCCAGCTCAATAGCAAAAGCGGGAGAGAAAGCCGGCTACTTAAATGAATTCAGATTTATCAATTTGTTTGCAGGATGTGTAGAAGTGTGTTTATTTATGCGTCGGGGGGGGGGGGGGGGGGGGAACTGAAAATTTAAATTACTCATCCCTATTTCCCACATCCCGCGTTTACGATATCATTTCTCTGAAAACTGAACCTCGTGGAAGGCATACGAGGTGGCGCGGAGGTGATAAGCAGGTGGCAAAGTTCTCCTAATTGCCTCAGTTTGTTGTGCGTGCGAGTGAAAAACGAAATATCTGCAGCTAAACAGACCGCCTAAACGGCGAACCCCCACCTTATCGCTGCAGACTGCCATTAAAATGCGCTTGTTTGATGCGGAATTTCTTCGTATTTGGATCTTTAAAAATGAAAAAGAAATTCCTACTGGGGATAGGAAATTATTATTATTTTTTTTAATTAGGATTGCCTGCGGTTGCTCAGCTGGATCCATGCCGCTGATAAGGTCCTACACAAACAAGTCCCAGAGCCGCAGAACAGCATGGGCGACGGTGGTGCCCTGGACGCTGTATACTGTGATTATTGGTAGAGACTGCCAACTTAGATGAGGTTCTAAGGTGCAAAAACTCAGCCCAAAGTCTGACAATGGAGTGATTTGTCTAGGACACTGGAGCAGAGAATGAATTTATAATGTACAGTATATATATATATATATACTGTATTTACTTACTACACCTCTCATGTTATGCAGTTTACCCAAAAGCACAGCAACATCTCCATGGTCCAACTATTAGGGGTTTACAGGAAGGAATATTGAGGTGGCAATTTTATCTTATGTATTATGGAAAACCTCCAGACATAGGGACACCAACATGTACTGTATATCTGTTGTACCAGGGTAGAATCGTTCAAAAAAATTCCCTGGTGGGGTGATCCAGAAATGCCCGTAGCAAAAAAGAAAGAAGAAATGGCGCAGGGCATACATGACTAGGCCCAGAGTGGGGAAGGAGGAACAGAAAGGGTTAAGGCAGATCCAAGGGGTTTGTTTTGATAGTGGGGGTATTTGGTTGGTGGAAGGTTGAGAGTAGGTGGGGTTTCCTGCACTTTAGGGTGGGGGGTTTCAGTGAGGGGGGCGTCAATTGAGCTGGAAGTCAGGAGTGAGAGCTTCCCTCCCGCCCTCCCTGTTTTTGGTGAGTATTGGGTCCCTCCAGGTAAAGGGGGGTTTATGTTGGTTCCTGGGCGGTTGTTGGTCTTTGGAGGCGGTTCTTATCTTGGAAGGTAAAAAACAATGGTGTGGGACCCATCGGCGGTATGGGATGCCCGGGGACATTCCCAGTTAACCAAGGTTTAACTGGAAGGTGGTGGTGCTGCACTGTGGACGGTATGGTTGTCTCCGAGCTGGTTGGTTGCGGCTGGAGGCCTAGTGTATATGGTTGTCCGCAGGTGCATTTCGGATTGTTTGGGGGTGCCTTCGAAGACCAACAACAATTCTTTGGGTTTCTGTTATAAGGAATGGTTGGTGTATTTAAATTTGTGTTGTTAATAAAAGGCCATGTTGGCCATTTACTCCAAAATTGGTGTCATGTGTTTTGTAAGTATAATTGGTTAAGGGGAAAGGGGGGTTTGTACGGAACGGTCATGGTGGTAATGGGGAGTGGACAAGCCTATCTCTGGTGCAATAGTCATGAGATCTGCGACCTGGTACTAACACGCAGCCAAATCCATCTCCACCATCAGGAGCTCTGGTGAATACCGGTTAGTGCTTAGACCCCGCACCTCAGGTGAGCCTGCCTCCCTTTCCCAGGGTGACCTGCTGGTGTACCTATCCTGCTGGTTTCAGGTAAGCCTTACACTGCTATAGCAACTGGTCTCTGAACCTGACCCAGACCCAGACCCAGACCGTGACACACTTACTGCTCCCTTGATTAAAGGAGCCAAAGCTAAATTTACCCAACGACTTACCCTAGGAGGGTGCTATAGTACCTAGAAAGATACACATACAGTATAGTGGGATGATACACAGAATGATGAAGTTCATTCAAGAAAACAAGAAACAAAGTAGAATAAAAAGTAGCATTTTGTTTTAAATTCCAATTTTCCAAGCCTACAACTGCTGAGACATAATTGATCGGACGAACGTCCTCTTAAACTATCCAATTCTTTCTGAAGAGCGACTGTCGATGGGTGACGCTCAATAAGTGTGTCAGAGGACGGGAAATGCTGTTGCAAGATTTGGTGGATGCTCTTAACAAAGCTCTAACAGGGACATCGATTCCACACGACTCTAATTAAATGGTGATGTTCTGAGCTCTCTTTAAAAACTGTCAGCTGCTTTTGTATCGGAGAGTGGAGTCTTTTCCCACGTGGCGTTGCTCAGAATTCCGCAAGCTCGGAGAATTGTGCCAGGCAATAGCAGAGTCACTGACCGGGATAAATGACAAATCTGTTTTACTTAATGAAGTTTATTAATGGAATTAACATTTTATTCAGGGTGTCCAAAGCCCTCATTCACACTGGCACTCCTTGGTTTAGCTTTTCTAAACGCAAGAGACGTCATCTGGCAAGTGTAAATAACTTTTAGAACCCCTCCACATGGAGTGTTTAGCCCCTGTGCATGCAGTCCTGGTGTTTTTCTGGGCTTGGAGTGGGGGCCCGTTGCCTGTCAAAGTCTATGCAGGCTGAAACACTCTGCAGTTGGATGCTATACCAAGTGGTGCTCATGTTTAGGGCCCTATGCATCAGGGGCGAATTCACAACAATGCATGTAGTCCACCTGGTGTGCACGAATCCCAACTCAGAATCATCTGAATCTCCAACTACAGGAACATACTGTGTACCGGGTATAGCAATTCACAAAACAGAGAGCAGGCTTACTTGGAAGAATCCCCCTTCTACTTAAAAGTACAGCAACACACCAGAGTGTCAGGGAACGAGAAGATCGCCACGACGCATGAATCTGCACATGCGTAGGATCCCGACAAGACAGAGGCAGGCGGGCACTAGGACCCAGGCGCGCGCCTGTCACCAATGACAGTGCTGGCAGGCACTAGGATCCAGGCGCGCCTGTCAGTGCTGGGCAGGCTATTTAAACCAGCTCTTGCAATGCTCACATTGCCGTATGGTCTTATTCCTGTGTTCCTGTTCCTAGTACCTGAGATTGCCTTTGTTGCCGAACCTGCCTGACCCGGATTATCGTGACTCTCTCCTGCCCTGATCCCTGGCTTGTCTGACCATTCTTCTGCTTTCTCCTGTTTACCTGACCTCCTGTTGCTGAACCTGGCCTGTGACCCGTTTATCCTTTTGCCTGCTGATTTGTACCGTCTGCCTCTGCTGTTACCGACCTGGCCTGTCTGACTACGTTACACACTACCTCTTCACATCTGGCTCTCACTTGTTACCTACCACTGTCAAATCCACCTCTACCACAGCTGGTTGAACTCGGGGGTCGCGACCTGGTCTCAGGCTGCTTCAAGTCCATCCCCACCATCAGGGGCTCTGGTGAAACAGCAGACTTAGGCTTAGATTCCGCGCCCTGAGGGATTCCGGCCTGTGGGTCTCTAGAGGCTACCGCCAGTCGGTCCATAACACAAGGCTCAGACAAGGCAGCTGAAGGCCTCTAGTGTGCCTGCACCGAATGCAAAAAAATAAAAAATGTCAGCCTCTATTTGAAACCAGTAAAAAGGGAAAGATGCAAATGGACAGGGTGATATACAAAACTGTACAAAAGGTGATCCCCACAGCACACCTTCCTGCACGGCATGCCCACAATGAAAAAGATGCAAACTTTTAGAGGATGGAGAGCGCCAACCGGCAAAATATAGTTATCTATGTACCAGGTAGTGCATCTGAGTGATCAAAAGCATAGGGATGCCTGAAGCGACCAGATTATTATTTCAAGCCCAACTTCGGGAAACTCTAAAATTAGCCCTTGCTGAACCATTGCAGAGGATAATTCTAGACTTTCCCAGAGTTGGGCTTTAATAGGAACAATAAACTATGCTCTCAGTGCTCTGTTTGCCTCAATCCAAAGCTCCTAGTGTGATTTCTGTCTCCTCTGTAATTCCTCTGCTATCTGCACAACTCAATTCTGACAGGTCATGCCAACACTACAGAATCTCAGAAGATGGCCCACCCCCCTGCCCCCAGCACACC